TTATACAACTACAATAACTTTAATGTATTTTCGTTGTGAATTCACATACTCCTGGATACGACTAATTTGCAATTAATTCGTAATGATACATACCACCACATATTAGTTGTGTACGACAATGAATATAATGGGAATATCATCCAATAATCATTTAATAATGGTCTCGTACAAAGACCTCTGTTCAATGTACAATCAGCCAAAAATAAAAGAAAATTTCAGTCATATGAGGAAATAAAAAATACATAAGATAAATCCTCCTTGCAACTCCGTCGGTTATGTCCTTGGCGACCACAACGACAACATTTTTTAAATTGTTTTACCTATTATGATTCAACCGTCTTTTTTTGGCCGACCTAGTTAGATAGATGTTGTAGAAGGAATTATCTTTGCTTGCAAGTTGTTCTATGCCACATCCATATCATGAGTCGGCACCGGATTAATGGATTCTTCGTAAGCAGCTTTGATGAAAACGAACATCTATTGTTTCTTGTGGTTCATCGGATATATCTGTATTCCATATAAGAAATATAATTATCTTGTTGCATATATCATAAAAAATAAAACATATATTCTACACATACCTATGTGCAAAAGTTGTCCACTAAGTGCCAGAGGCAGTATGCGTGGTGGCTCAAAAAAATACGGCAGGGATAAATTTTAGAAGTCTCGAGTATATATAAATAAATGTATTCTTTCCAATTATACTGACTATCAACGTGAAGAAAAAACCTTAACCTCCAACAAAACTATTCCCAATTTTCATTATTTTCGGCAGACACGACTGCATAGCAACAAGATTATATGAACCATCAAATTTAAAAGCACATGGAATATATACCAAGGGTCATACATGAGTGGTTGTAATACATATCAACCAAACAAGGGCATCTTCAAAGAAATAAAACATACAATATCAGACAACATAGGTATAAGATTGATAAATATAGGTATACTTCACCAGAGAAAGTTTTTTTTGTGAAAATGCCCACACATATTACCATTAAATCGCAACAGCCGTCTTAAAACTTTTTTCTATACACACTATTATATATTGTAAAAAATTACCACATTCTGCACAAATAATCTCGAACAAAGTACAATCACCAATGGATTAGTGAAATAATAGTGAAGATAATCGATCATACTTTAGTTCCGATCTTTGTTTTCAGTGGAACATGGATAGGATCGATCGTGCGCCCTAACAACACCACTGTAATCAACCAAAAAAATTATCACAACTTGAAATCGAAACTTTTTCTTATCGGTGTTTTCCTTGTGCAAAATAAATCTAAATATTGAAATTTGGATTCGACATCGCCATCGATCATGCGTGAAAGAAACAGAAGGCTGGACAGAAACTACTTCGCGCGAGAATAACCAAATGAGGAGAGATGAATATCTGAAATGATAAAATAAATTTTGGAGAGAGATAGGGGTTACATTGTAATTGAGCTTTGGGGTAGGGAGTTAATGCTAATAATTATTAAAAAGTGGGGAGTGCAGTGTGTGTAAAGTGTGGATGGGGACTGAACTTAAATGTCAAAATAGAAAGAGAGATTTTAATCCAATTGTCCGTTAAATCATTGTCAGACAAAATACATTTAAGTTCAGTCCGTACAAGTTATATTAACACAGTGCACTTTCTACTTTATAAAATATTTACAGATAGTTCTATATTACCCATTTTGCCCTAAATAATGAGTTTATGTAACAAATATATTATATACTTCCGTTGAAATTACGTAAATCTATATTATCTACTTATATACTCTAAAGTAGTCGTATTATACAAATTAAACTGCAAAGTGATGTACCTTGCTTTATTATTTATATACTATAATCGATATAAAAATAATACAAAAAAATAACCGAACCTAAAAATACAGACGATCTCAATCATTTTTTTCTTCAAAAACTTTTCTCCTCCCACATTCCGATTGTCGCCTTTGACCGTCATCCTTAAAATCATCACCGCCGCTGCATTGGAAGTTTTTTTGATCAAAGACCAACTGAGATGATAAAATAAAAGTGCACAGTTTGTTCAAAATTTCAATAAGGTCTCATTTCTCAAACGAAGTTCAAGAATTAAGTTAAATTTTTTGTATTTGGAAAAACTGATATTTTAGTTTTTTTCTTTCTAATTCGTAGTATATTCTAATTTTTTGTCTTGTGTCTTTATTTGGTTTGTACAAGTTTTTGAGTAAGTCAAGCTTACTTCAGTATCGTAACCCACCATCGTTTCAAATATAGGTTATTGTAATATGTTTTAAATTATAGTAACATTATTGTATATTAAGTATCTTCATCGCCATCTTGCTAGGTTTAATTTTGTAGTAAAATAGTTGCGATATTAGGTGTGTAGACTTTGATTTTTTTTTTTCTCAAATACCATTTGTCACCAGTATGTATGTTCCCTGAGAATTACGTTTTATGCAATACAAGAAATCTACCCGCTTAGCAGATGAGCTCGAATTTGATAATGTCAAAATATGTCGAATGAAAATTATTGTGAAGATTTTATCATTAGTGTAACACCCCCAGTTGGCTCATACTGGAAATGCTACCGCCACACTGCATCATGAGGTCGTCACCTCCTACTTCGGGCCCCACAATACAATGTTAAGGCTAAATTAACCATAAAAGCGCATTATTATATATACCAAAATCTGATTTATAAATATTTACAAAACACACCCCTTAACAAGAGGTTTTTCCGGTTAAACATTTACATATAATACAATATACGTAAGTTCACTCACTCAGCCTATCTTTCTATGTCTCGAGACGTCCCCTGTCTCGGATGTGCCATGCATACCTGAAACAAATATTTTCTTAAAAGCAGTCCAGAATTAAATCCATTTTAAGAACTAATGTGAAATATATCATTTAACACCTTTTTAAAATAAAGTCTAATTCCCGTTAATCATAAAATACGTGTCATGTCATGCCAATAGTGAAATGATGCAATACAGATATCAAACTCGACAACAATGCACACTCACATATATATATATATATCCGCCAAAGTGAGCAGCCGGAATAACCTCGGCTCCATAATCACAGGCTCACTACATCTGTCTAAGTGAGCAGCCGGAATACCCTCGGCCCCGTAATAACAAGCTCACTAGACCATCATCAATAAATAGCCGAAAAATCCTCGGCTCAAGGAAGGACCTGATAAACCCATAATAATATAATGGTCATCCGGTCACTTTCATATACCCACCATACCACTCATACAATCAATACATGGATAGCCGAACGTTGTCGCCATTAACCACAAGACGCCCCATAGTCTGTGATAGCGAAGATAGGACCCCCACTGACTAGCCCTATCCCGTGTAATGTAATAGAATCCGTGCAACCTGGAATCACCCAAGGGAAACCCGGAAACTCTACTCCTCCTCGCGCGCCCTAACGGGATCACGTTTGGAGTTTGGCATATGATCCTAAACTACCGGTAGACCTCACTAGTGATCAGTCCAATGAGTGGAACAACACCGAACACGAATGATTAGACCAAATACGTCTCAACTACAATAGGTCTAATCCCTGAATGACCGTGCGACTAAGTCACCCAGTTGTCCGACTACTATCGTCCACTATCGCCAAAGTGTTACGGTACATCGGGGTCGAATATCCTAACCCCAGATGATGCCCTCGCCTAGCACTACCGCACACAACGACTAGACGATAGATCCATAAAACACATCCGATAAACCGTGCAATATGTGTGCAACATGCCAAATAAGTGAATTTACCGAAAAGGGCTGGTGAGACAGCTCACCTATCCTTCTTCTCATAAATTCACCAACGCGATCATATATGTATATCAAATATCATAAACCGTGAAGTCTCCCACATGCATACACACACACAAATATATATAAATATATACATGCAACAAAATGATTCACATAATATCATGTTAACATATTAATCAGAATCGCATGCAACATGCATACCTAATTTCTTAAAATTAGATTTAATTCCCTACTGCTTACCTTTTATCGACACTACCTAGCTCCCGCAATTTCACCCAAATCTCTTCCAACGTACACCTGCCCCATTATTTACTCAAATCAGTTGAGCAATATATTTATATATAGGAGCTACCTGCTTATTCAAAAGCTAATTTCTATAGTTAGCTCGTTGGGTTTCAAACTTTTATATTTAGCAGACTACGATATTCTAGTTATAAAACTCTTATACCTCATAATATTTATATCGCCCGATTATTAAATAAAAATACCTAAAGATATGAATAAACAGGCAGGTGAAATACACTGCTGTTTTCAATTCGGCTCGGATCGATACAAAATTCTCAAAATATAATACTAGGACTACGAATAGGCTATTAGCTAAAAAAATTCGTCGATTAAATAGCCAAATAGCCGGTTATGAATTTTTGAAGAATTTCTAATTTAATATTCCCAATATAGAAATTCATATTAAAATCCATAATTAAATTATACGTATAACAAATAATACAATACCGAAGTCGGAATCCAAATTGGACAGCTAAATCTTTTTCTTTTTTTTTTTTCTTTCTTTCTTCTCCTTCGCATTTCTTCCTCTGCCTTCGTTCGCAGGTGTGTTGGTTTGTTTTATATGTATATATATAGTTATATTATTATTATATATTATATATTATATTATTATTATTATTATTATTATTATTATTATTATATCTTCGTTATCATTCATCCTTATCATTATTATTATTATTATTATTATTATTATTATATTATATATATTATATTTTATATTTATCTTTATCGATATTTATCCGTTTAACAGTCTTTTCAATCATAATCAATATATAAAATAGGAATAAAATTTGTTCCAAAATATTAATATCTTAATTCCAAAATATTATAAAAATATTTATTTGCTATAATAATATTATTTTATACACTCCAAAATCAGGGTATTACAATTTACTCCCCCTTAAAAGATTTCGTCCCCGAAATCTAAACTCAAACGCATAACAACACTACTTAATTAAACAAATGTGGGTATGCTTTGAACATCTCTTGTTCTACTTCCCACGTAGCCTCTTCTGCTCCATGCCGGGACCACATTACCTTCATCATACGAATATCTCGGTTCCTCGTAGTTCGAACCTTTGTGTCCATGATCCAAAGAGGCATTTCCTCATATGAAAGATCCTCATTTAGCTCTAACTCATCCGGAGATAAAATATGAGAAGGATCTGTGACATACCTACGAAGCTGCGATACATGAAACACATTATGAATTCGTTCCATGGAATTAGGAAGTGCTAACCGATAAGCCCAATCCCCAACTCGATTGAGGATTTCATAGGGTCCAACATAACGCGGACTCAATTTTCCTTTAATTCCAAACCTTCTAATACCTTTCATTGGAGATACTTTTATCAGGACGAAATCTCTACTTTGATATTGGTCTTCACGTCGGGCTTTATCGGCATAACTTTTTTGGCGATCTTGAGCTATCTTCATCTTCTCCCTGATAACTCGAATCTTATTTTTTGATTATTCGATCATTTCTGGACCTAATATCAGCAGTCGATCACTCATGTCATCCCAACTTAAAGGAGTTCTGCATCTTCGTCCATAAAGAGCTTCAAAAGGAGCCATTCCAATACTTGTTTGATAACTATTATTATATGAGAATTCCACTAAATCCAAGTAGTCCTCCCAACTTCCTTGAAATTCTATTGCACAAGCTCTTAGCATATCTTCCAGAATACAGATAGTTCGCTCTGATTGACCATCAATCATTGGATGAAATGCAGTACTCATATGCAACTGAGTACCAAAGGCTTCTTGCAATTTTTGCCAAAATCGAGATTGAAAACGTGGATCACGATCCGATATGATTACCTCAGGAATACCGTGTCGTTTAACCACATGATGAACATGTAATTGGGCCAACTTCTGCATGCTCCAAGTCATACGTACTGGGATGAACACTGCTGACTTAGTCAATCTATCTATAATCACCCAAATTGCATCTGTTCCCAACTTCGCCCTTGGAAGTCCTGTCACAAAATCCATTGCAATAGAATCCCATCTCCAGAGCGGAACTTCTAAAGGCTGTAGCAACCCCATCGGTCTCTGATGTTCTGCTTTTACCTTTTGGCAGTTTAAACATTGTGCAACGAATTTGGCTACATCCTTCTTCATGCCCTTCCACCAAAAATGTTGACGTAAGTCTTGATACATTTTAATCCCCCCTGGATGCATTGAATGTGGTGTATTATGAGCCTCACTCATAATTTTCTCTTTCAAACCGCTTCGGTCCTTTGGGATACACCACCTCCTATGGAATCGAAGACTCCCATCTGAAGCAATATTAAAGTTTTGAGTCTGACCGCCCTGAACTTTTATAGCCAGCTCGACCATCTTATCATCTTCCATTTGAGCCGCTCTAATATGATTATAAATTTCAGGCTCAACTTGCATCATTTGCAAATATCCCCGCGTCATGCCCCGTCCAAGTACTTCAATTTCCATCCGTGCTAGATCTTGACACAGTTCATCAGCAACTGACATATAACCCAACTTATGCCTTGGTTTTCGACTCAAGGCATCAACTACAACATTTGCTTTACCTTCATGATATACAATTTCGAGATCATAATCTTTCACCAATTCTAACCATCTTCTTTGTCTTAAATTTAATTCACTTTGGGTGAAGATATATTTCAGACTCTGATGGTCAGTAAACATTCTACAATGGGCGCCATAAAGATAGTGCCTCCAAATCTTCAAAGCAAATACAACTGCTGCCATCTCCAGGTCATGTGTAGGATAATTTTCTTCGTGAGGTTTTAGTTGTCGTGACGCATAAGCAATAAATCTTTGATTCTGCATTAAGACGCATCCCAATCCCCTTTTCGAAGCATCACTATAAACTTCAAAATCCTCACCCTCTACTGGTAAAGCCAAGATTGGTGCTGAAGTTAATCGATGTTTCAATTCTAAGAAAGAGGACTTATATTCACGATCCCAATTAATCATTGTGTCCTTCTTCAGCAAATTAGTTAATGGCTTAGCAACCCTCGAAAAATCAAGAACGAATCTTCGGTAATACCCTGCCAAACCCAAAAAGCTTCTTACTTCTGGTTGATTGGTAGGTCTTGGACAATCTGAGATTGCCGCAACTTTAGAAGGATCTACTGAGATACCCTTACCAGACACTACATGCCCCAAGAAAGCAACCTTTTTCAACCAAAACTCACATTTGGATAACTTGGCATATAACTTCCTCGCACGCAGTGTATTTAGTGTCACACGCAAATGTTTTGCATGTGTCTTTTTATCTGGAGAATATACCAAGATATCATCGATAAATATCACCACAAACTGATCGAGGTATGGTTGAAAAATTCGATTCATTAATTCCATAAACGCAGCCGGGGCGTTGGTCAACCCAAAAGACATAACCGTAAATTCATAATGACCGTATCTAGTGCGAAAGGCTGTCTTAGGAATATCATGCTCTGCAACCCTTAATTGATAATATCCAGACCTCAAGTCAATCTTGGAGAATACACTTGCACCTCTCAGTTGATCAAATAAATCATCAATTCTCGGAAGAGGATATTTATTCTTTACCGTTACTTTATTCAGCCCATTGTAGTCAATACACAACCTTAAGCTTCCATCTTTCTTTTTCACAAATAAAACTGGAGCACCCCAAGGCGACGTACTAGGACGAATGTAAACTTTATCCAATAATTCCTGTAGTTGAAATTTAAGTTCAGCGAGTTCTAACGGTGCCATGCGATATGGGGCTCTTGATATTAGCTCGGCGCCTAACACAATATCAATAGTAAAATCCACCTCACGAGCTAGTGGCATACCAGGAATATCATCAGGAAATACATCAGGAAAATCTCGAACCACAGGAATATTTTGCTATTGTTGCTCCCCTTGCTTCAAATCTCTTACCTCACACAGATACACCGGATACCCCTTACGAATAAGTGCTTGAAATGATAGGGATGAAATTACCTTCATAGAAGGTTGTCTTGCCGATCCTGCATAGCTCACTTGTTCACCCATTGCTCCAACCAATGAAATTGATCTTTTTCGACAATCAAATTGAGCTTGATATGCCATTAACCAATCCATCCCCAGTATCACATCGAACTTGGATAACTTCATACTCAACAAGTTAGTAGCAAACTCAACTCCCCCAATCCTAATTGGAATTTGCATATAGAGTTCTCGGCACTCCAGTACTTCTCCTGATGGAAGTAAAACTTCCACTACCACTTCTACCGATGAATTCAGACCCAATCTTTTAACCAAACGTTTAGATATGAACGAGAACGTTGCACCCGAATCAAATAACACAAGAGCTGACAAACCGCAAACAAGAAATCTACCCGTTAAAACCTCACCTGGGTAATGATCAGCCTCTGTTTGGGTAACCACATTTATTCTGCCACGCTGGTCAGGTCCTCTGCCTAGCTGGCTAGATGATGGACGTGACTGGCTTCGACCACCTCGCCATGATGGTCCTAATCCTCTCCCCTATGACTGTGAAGATGGCGGCTACCATGGCCTAAATCTCGGTTCTGGAAACTCCCTTGCAGTTACCACACTCGGACATAGCCTGGCAATATGACCACTACCACCACACTTAAAACATGTTAATGGAAATTTATCACAACGGGTACCTGAATGACTTGTTCCACAACGTCGACAAACAACCCCCGATTGTTGAAACCTCTCTTGACTCGGTTCTTTAATCGAAATCCCTTTATACGATGGCCCAGACCTGAATATTTGCCATAATTTATTTTTACCCTTTGGTTCGTCCTCCACCTTAGCTTTTCCTTTATCTCGAAACTGATGTTGATACCCCATCTCCTTCTCACTGTTCTTCTGCCTGACTTCCTGCTTCTGATAGAATCGAGCAGCACGCTCGTAAGCCTCATACAACAAACTGATATCCAACACAGCTAAAGCTTCTTGAATCCTCTGCTGCAACCCATCTACAAAATGATCAACTCTATCTCGCTCACAGGAAAAGTAGTCAAGAACATACATCTCCAGCTCATTGAATTTTACAAAATAGTCTTCGACTGACATCGAACCCTGCTTCAAGTCCAGCAACTCTTGCTTCTTTGCTTTTCGAACATGTGACGGTATAAACCTAGCTTTTAATTTTGCTTTAAACTCATCTCAAGTCATATCCACTTGGTCCACTCCCGCAGCTTCCTCACCTAACCACCACCGATTTGCTCGACCTTCCAAGAAATAAGCCTCGATATTGACTCGTTGATCTGGTGGAACCTGAACAACACGAAATATCTTTTCCATCTTTTCAACCCAGAACTCAAGAACTCCAGGCTCTACAGAACCAGAATATGCTGGCTGGTTATGCCGCATCACAGCATCAATAAAACTCCTCTGTTGAGGCATCATCGCAACCATAAACTGCCGGAAGAAATCCTGATTAGGTTCCTCTATTGGTACATGCTCTGGCACAGGATATTGTGACTCATCAGACGAAGGATCTAGTTCTGGGCCTCGAATAGCCCTACATAAACCATCACCTCGAGAATTTGACATACTGCCCCCGACTTCCCTAATTCAATATCAACTCAGCAACACAACTAAACCAGATATAACATTAAAGCATAAACCACGTTAACATGAATGCACCCACAAAACCCAAACCTCGCCAAACCAATTCAATATCATAATTATTTTCAAAACCTTTTTTAATCCAAAGAGCCAAAATCTACCAAACCTAGGCTCTGATACCAACTTGTAACACCCCCAGTTGGCTCATATTGGAAATGCTACCGCCACACTGCATTATGAGGTCGTCACCTCCTACTTCGGACCACACAATACAGTGTTAAGGCTAAATTAACCATAATACAATATACGTAAGTTCACTCACTCAGCCCATCTTTCTATGTCTCGAGACGTCCCCTGTCTCGGATGTGCCATGCATACCTGAAACAAATATTTTCTTAAAAGCAGTCCAGAATTAAATCCATTTTAAGAACTAAAGTGAAATATGTTATTTCACACCTTTTTAAAATAAAGTTTAATTCCCGTTAATCATAAAATACGTGTCATGTCATGCCAATAGTGAAATGATGCAATACAGATATCAAACTCGACAACAATGCACACTCACATATATATATATATATCCGCCAAAGTGAGCAGCCGGAATAACCTCGGCTCCATAATCACAAGCTCACTACATCTGTCTAAGTGAGCAGCCGGAATACCCTCGGCCCCGTAATAACAAGCTCACTAGACCATCATCAATAAATAGCCGGAAAATCCTCGGCTCAAGGAAGGACCTGATAAACCCATAACAATATAACGGTCATCCGGTCACTTCCATATACCCACCATACCACTCCTACAATCAATACATGGATAGCCGAATGTTGTCGCCATTAACCACAAAACGCCCCATAGTCTGTGATGGCGAAGATAGGACCCCCACTGACTAGCCC